TACTCTATTCTTTCCCAAGCTTTCTCAGGCTTTCTGTGGATTCAGTTATCCATGTCTGGGAGCCATTTGTTGAAGGAGCTGCAGGCTGCATTCCTGCCACCCGACCCCGGCCACCTGGCTAGCTTATGCCCTGAAATAATAACACGGAAACTGTATTCATTTAAATACTGCCCAGCTCATTATCTCTAGCCTCTTCTGGCTAACTCTCATATCTTAATTAACCCATATCTAATAATCTGTGTAGCACCACGAGATGGTGTCTTACCAGAAGATTCTAGTGTACATCCATCTTGGGCTGGAGCTTCATCGCATTTGCCCCAGAGAAGAGCGGCATGGCGTCTGCCTAACTTCCCTTCTTCCCAGCATTCTGTTCTGTTTACTCCACCCACCTATGTTCTATCCTACCAGGCCAAGCAGTTTCTTTATTAATTAACCAATGAAATTGACAGATTGATATATGACACTCCTACATCAAACCTAGTCTACAGAGATAGTTCCAGGACAGTCAGGGCTATAACACAGAGAAACCCCGCCTCAAAACACCAAAAATAAACAAAGAAATATACATTACTATTTATAATCTGTCAGCACCCAGACAGTTCCTGGCACACAACAGTTGATCAGTAAATATCTGCTGAATTAATGAGAGAACGAGAGAGGAGGAGCAAGGAAAAGAGGTAAAAGTAAAAAAGAGGTTAAAAAAAGAGACAGGTGTGGCATGTGCCTATATTCAATCATTTAGAAGCTGAGTAATGAGAACTGATTTTAAGGCCAGACTGGACTGCACAGTGAGTTTAAAATTGCCTGGCTACAATAGCAAAATGGTACCTAAAAAGAAAAGAAGAGAAGAGAAGAGAAGAGAAGAGAAGAGAAGAGAAGAGAAGAGAAGAGAAGAGAAGAGAAGAGAAGAGAAGAGAAGAGAGAAGAAAATAAAGGGTGGGTGAGAGAGATCAGCAGGTTAATGTGATTTCTGTGTAGACTTGCTGACCTGATTTCAAACCCCAGGAACTCATAACACAGTGGCCGCTATAAAATTGTGCTCTAAGTAGTGTGTGTCCACATACACATCCTGTAATGAGAAAATAATAATTTTTTAAAAATTCAAAAATATAGCAAGCAATAATGGAAGGAATACATTTTCATAATTTAAGAATTATCTATGATTTATCTACCAAGTTTTTTTTTATTTTTTTAAATATTTATTTATTTATTATATATACAATATTCTGTCTGTGTGTATGCCTCAAGGCCAGAAGAGGGCACCGGACCTCATTACAGATGGTTGTAAGCCACAATGTGGTTGCTGGGAATTGAACTCAGGACCTTTGGAAGAGCAGGCAATGCTCTTAACCTCTGAGCCATATCTCCAGCCCCTACCATGGTGTTTTAAAACTATTGTCTGTTTTATCTTTTTGGCAGGAAAAAAAAATCTTCCTTAATCTCAAGCAATCAAAATCTACAGTTCCCAACAAATATATAATCTCTAAACATAAACATCTGTCTCTAGGAAAAAAAAGTCTAGAAGATACAGCACAGTTCTAGAGTCTTTCTTAATGAGGAACATCCATGCTCCAAGAAGCTGTCCTTCCTTAGGCCCACCCTAAAACATCTTTGTTTTCATTTGCACATTCTCTTGGTATCTTGTAAATATATCTGGTCAGCATAGTCATATATAAATACTCTTAACATCTGCTCCATAATTTCCAAACCTTTCCCCTCAAGAAATCTTGTCATTTCAAGTCCTCAACGTATTCCACTCTCTGGATCAGTGATTCCATTTCCAAGGCAATACAAAGAAAAGCAAAACTCACTTTCCTTCCTCTCAACATCTGAAGCCCCACCCCCAGCAAGTAGAAGCAGGATCTGGCCTGAGCTCAGATATGATAGCACACTGATTCCTAGTTTCCATCAAGCTTGCAAATCTGATGGTCCTTTAATATTTTTGCCATCTCTTCCATGTTGGGAGCTGTGAACTCCCAGATCCTAAATTTCTTGTAAACAACTTGTTTTCCTCTGCTCTGAGACAGCTTGCAGCTGCTCTGAGCACCAGACCCTCAGGAGTTCCTGATGGCAGGGGAGAGAGAGGAAGAGGACGAGAGAGAGAGAGAGAGAGAGAGAGAGAGAGAGAGAGAGAGAGAGAGAGAGAGAG